AGAGGAGGTGAGGTCACCTGGACCCAGGCCCATCCTTCATTAGCCTCTTGCATAGGGTGCCAGAGCAGCTCCCCAGACTCTGGGCAGTGGGGCAGGGGAGGAGAGGGGTGGTCCTTTAGGTACTTCTCTTTCTCTTCCTCCTGCTTACAGCTGTATAAACGGTTTCAATTGCTGGACGGGCCCTCTGAGGCAATGGGCCGGGGCCGAGACTGGAACGTGGACCTGATCCCCAAATTCCTCATGGCCAATGGTGAGAGAGACAAACGAGGTGTTGTGGGGGGTGATTAGGACAACCAGAGGAGCGTTAGGCTCCAGAGAAAGGGCAGCTAGTCCCACTAGAGCATCTGCAGGGATCCGTGCTGATGTTGCTTTCCTCCCACCGCCCCGCAGGGCAGTTGGTAAAGATGCTGCTGTATACAGAGGTGACACGCTATCTGGACTTCAAGGTGGTGGAGGGCAGCTTTGTCTACAAAGGGGGCAAGATCTACAAAGTGCCATCCACTGAGACTGAAGCCTTGGCTTCCAGTGAGTGTGGGTCCCCTGAGCCACAGAATCATGGGCATAAGGAGCAGCTATTTACGGCAGGGCACCCCTTGCCCAAGGTCATATCTCTGTTGAACACCAGAAACCCTTTGCTCTGTCTTCTAATTGCCCCAGGCCCCTTACCTTGGTTATCAGGAGCAAAGTCAACACACAGAAGGGCTGTGCATTGGGGGAAACTCTGAAAAACTTAATTAAGCCTTTGACAGGGTCTCCATCTGACTGATGAAATATCCCCAAGTGTCAGTAGCCTGGAGGGTCCTGAGAGCCTGTCCAGCCCAATCCCCTCTTTGTACAGATGGGAAAACAGACCAAGAAGGGCAGAAGGATTTATCTAAGGTCACATGGTGGGCAGCAACAAAACTCAGCTGGGAGCTAGGGCACCGGCTTTCTTGGTCTACCTAGTGGGAAGGGTGGGAAGGAGAGGTGTGTTCTGTGGCGAGAAGGCTCTCTTCACATTGCCTCCGCAGATCTGATGGGCATGTTTGAGAAACGGCGCTTCCGCAAGTTCCTGGTGTTTGTGGCGAACTTTGATGAGAATGACCCCAAGACATTTGAAGGTGTTGACCCCCAGAACACCAGCATGCGCGATGTCTACCGGAAGTTTGACCTGGGCCAGGACGTCATTGACTTCACCGGCCATGCCCTGGCACTCTACCGCACCGATGAGTGAGGAAACTCGGGCATGGCAGACCACCCCTCTCCTGGCCTGTACCCTGCCCTCCCCACTCCTGCCTGCTGCTCCCTTGGCCCACTCTGCACTCTCTTGTACTCAGCCACATGCTCACCTGTCCCCTTTTCTGCCCCTTTTCTGCATTTGACCGTAATCTTCTCCAGGTCATTGAGGGTGATGAAGGCTGGCCTGGTGCTCGGGAGGGCGTGGGCTGGGGGTGCTGCTGTTGGAGCCTCTTCTGACTTCATCCCCCCTCAGCTACCTGGACCAGCCCTGTCTTGAGACCATCAATCGCATCAAGTTGTATAGCGAGTCTCTGGCCCGGTATGGCAAGAGCCCATATTTATACCCGCTCTACGGCCTTGGCGAGCTGCCCCAGGGCTTTGCAAGGTGAGGGCATGGCTTCTTTCAGTTCACAGTCCCGAGTAGAAGAGCTAATGGAAACAGCCCTTTGTGCATTCCGTTGTGCTCTTAATTTAATGTACACCGTTCTTGAGTGACGGGTTCTGCAACAGTGCGTTGAACCGCAAATGGGGTTGCTTGGTTCCTGGCCTGAGTTGGGCAGTGGTAGCACTGGGCCCAGTGCCATGGAACCTCAAGTCAGAGCTGCTCCAGAGCCCTGTGTCTGTTCTCCAAGCAATTTCTGTGAGGAGCTATGCCCTCACACTAACCCATTGTAGAGTATTCTGGGTGGAAGCTCCAGAGAGGAAGGAGCCCTGAATTTCGTCCTGAGTTTGTGGGAGTGACATCTGGGAAGAATCGCTGGCTCTCCTGAGCTCTGCCTGCTTGGAGTAGCCACCTCTGCACGCCAGTGCTGGTGGGGGGAAGGTGCAGTGGCTCCAGTCTCTGTTTCTCCTGGGAGCGGGAATTCACCATGATTGTCCCCACCACAGATTGAGTGCTATCTATGGGGGGACATATATGCTGAACAAACCTGTGGACGACATCATCATGGAGAATGGCAAGGTGGTGGGTGTGAAGTCTGAGGGAGAGGTAAGCCTTCCCCGCAGTGCATTCACTATGTTCTGGGTGGGGTTTGGCCCCCTCCTTAGAGGTTCTTTTCCCAGTGATCTTGCCTTTCCTGAGTCTGCTGTTACTCAGCTCTAAGGGCCCTGGCCTAGGGACTGGGGCTCCAGAAGAAATCTGTCATAGTCACTCCTCTTGGCGAGAGGTATCCTTCAAAGCCCATGTGCTGTGTCGGGTCCATAGAGTGTTCCTGATCACAGTGTCTTAGCAGAGGGGGTCACCCAGCCCTGGATATTACAGCCCATTTCTCTGAGGTACAGAATGGAGCTCTATGCTATAGAAGGGGCAGTGGAGGGCCCTGTCTGCTGGAGCTGCCAGTGCTGGCTGTGGACCCAGCTCCATGATCACCTGGGGGAGCGATGGGGTCAGGAAAAGGTCTTCTGGTTGCTTTCACAGGTGGCCCGCTGCAAGCAGCTGATCTGTGACCCCAGCTACATTCCAGACCGTGTTCGGAAGGCCGGCCAGGTTATCCGCATCATCTGTATCCTCAGCCACCCCATCAAGAACACTAATGATGCCAACTCCTGCCAGATCATCATCCCCCAGAACCAGGTCAACAGGAAGTCAGGTAGGCTGAGCCCCTCGTGATTTCCTCCAGTGGGGTTCTAGTGATTGGGTAAGCTTAGACTTGCTCTCTATGTGGGTGATAGCTTGGATGCTGCCCACTGTGTGTAGCTTGGGGGGGTGGGGTGGCAGACCCGAATTGAGCCCAACCCCTAGGAGTCTTGCATGTGCCTGTGTTGACGGAGTGCTTCTTTTGGGCAGACATCTACGTATGCATGATTTCGTATGCACACAATGTGGCTGCACAGGGCAAGTACATCGCCATCGCCAGTACCACAGTGGAGACTGGGGAGCCTGAAAAGGAGGTTGAGCCTGCCCTGGAGCTGCTGGAGCCCATTGACCAGAAGTAAGGGACTGGGGTCCAGGGCTGAGGCTACTGGGGAGGAAGGGAGCCAAGTTGCTGGGGGTTGGGGACCAGGGAGGGCAGGGCTGGTTGTAAGGCCTACCCACCCCTACACCTACTCCTCAGGTTTGTGGCCATCAGTGACTTGTATGAGCCCATCGACGATGGTTCTGAGAGCCAGGTAAGCAGCCTGTCCTGGCCCTGGCTCCTGACTGCCCACCCAGAGTCCCTGCCTAACTCTCCTTGGGCCCTGGGCTCTGACTGTTTTCAGGTGTTCTGCTCCTGCTCCTACGATGCTACTACACACTTCGAGACAACCTGCAATGACATTAAAGACATCTACAAGCGCATGGCAGGCTCTGCCTTTGACTTTGAGAACATGAAGCGTAAACAGAACGATGTCTTTGGAGAAGCTGACCAGTGATTGCCGCCCCCACCCCCACCCCCACCCTTGGCACCCTCTTCCTTCACCTGAGTCTGTTCTCCTGGAGGCTGGGGAGATGGGTGTGGCTGGGCACCCCTGTTTCTAGCATCCTTTGCTTCCCTCACTACATTCCTGTTTCCCACCTCATTGACTGACCAAATCCTTAACCTTAGTGGTTTGGTAGACGGGGGTTTGGATAGCATCCTCTTTCTTGGCCCACCCTTATCCTTGAAGAGGGTTCCTCTTGTGTGTGTCTTCCCCCCCCCCCCCACCTCTAATTCTTCTGCTCTCTTTGGGAAGAACAGGGAGGAAAAGCTCACTTCTGCCCCCACCACTCTTAACCCCGCTGTAGTGGCCTTTGGAGATGCCCCCACCTCCCCCTACCAACTCTCTTGTGTGTTGGAAAGAAGGGGCCCTCCCAGCACAAAGTTGCATTCCCCCCTTCCCTGTTAATTTATTCTAATTTATTAACTTTGGCCCACCCTGTCTGAGAAGAGAGTCCTATTCCCCTCAACCTGTAGCCTTCTGGTATGGCCTGGGAGGGGAGAGGGCTTGGGTGTGGCCCCATTAGAGGAATGTTTTGCTGTTCTTTTTTTGTGTGTATGTGTCCTCTGGTAATTGCTGAGAGAAAAGAAACGTGAGCAAAGCAAAAGGAGGTGGGAAAATGGATCCAAACCCCTGTGCTCCACCCTTTCCCTAGTCTTTCCCTTAGTGGTGGGAAACCCTTATGCAAAGTGAATGTGTCCCCTTCCCCAACCTCTAGTGTATTTCACAGAAAAAAGCTCCCAATAAAACCGTGTTGAAACCTGAACTCAAATCTTTAGCTTTATTTCCTAAAAGTTGGGCACTTGGTGGCCCTTGTGCTGAACAGAAAGGGCTTGTACAGAGGCAACAGATCACATTGGCTTCCCCAAGGCCACCCAGTGAGTGCTGGCACCAGGACTACAACCCTTGGGTGGGTCAGTGTGAGGGAAATAGGGCAAGAGAGGTCTGGCCTGGCCTGGGGGTTGAAGTGGGAAAGGAATGGGGGCAGGATCCCTGCCTTCATGTCAAGGAAGGGAAGATGGACAGGGCACCCAGGCCCAGGGTCATGGCCTAGGGAAACGGGGGACTGGGCCCGGGCTGGTGGGGGTCAAAGTTAAGGAAGCAGGGGGAGAAGCAGCAAGGGGATTGGTAGGGTCTGGCCTTAAGCCAGGGTCTTTATCAAGGAAGTGGAGGGCCTGGGGGCCTAGCCTTGGAGTCAACAGGATGCTGTAGGACTGGGGACCCTGCCTGGTCCAGGCGTTAACGTTGAGAAACTCGCGAGGGAACCTGGGCCAGCCGGAGACCGGAAGCGGGAAGGTGAAAGGACCCAGGGCTGGCGGGGCGGAGCGGCTGGTGGTCACGTGGCGGGGCGGCGGGCGCCCGCGCGTCTTTTAATGCTGACGTCACGGCGCCGGCGTCAGCAGATTGCACGGCTGCCGCCGCGGCTGAGACTGTGGCTGGGGCGCTCCGCTACCGCCGTCGTCGCAGCCATGGCTCAGTACAAGGGCGCCGCGAGCGAGGCCGGCCGCGCCATGCACCTGATGAAGAAGCGGGAGAAGCAGCGCGAGCAGATGGAGCAGATGAAACAGCGGATTGCCGAGGTGCGGACCGGGCCAGGGCGCCCGAGAGCGTGCGCGCCGCCGGCCGCCCCAACACCTGGGGCCCCGCGCGACCCCGACAGCAAGCTGGGGCGGGACCCTTGCTGGCTGACCTCCAGCAACGGGCAGAAGTGAGCTGGAGACAGGCTGCTCATCTGTAAAATGGGCCCAGAAGGCCAAGCCGAGCTAGCTTGTGACAAGCCTCCAACAAGGAGGGAGCCACAGTCAATGGTTCCAGTTAGTAGCATTGGTGCACCCTTCGTGGGCACAGCATCCAGGCCCTGGCCTCTTGTCCCTGAGAGCAAGGCCTCTGCCCTGTCCGGTGGATGCCAGGAAGGGCAGGCCCCGAAGGCTTCGGCCAATACATCATCAGTCGCTGAGACTCATTTCCGGAGCGCTTCGCTCCCCGACAAAGGCAGGCTGCAGCATCCACAGTGCTAGCGGTTCACTTGAGTGGCCAGTGGCCATGGGCAGTCAGGAAGGAAGGAGTCCTCCGCTTGGGCATTTGGGGGGTACTCATCCAAAAAGCCAGGGACTCAACAGTGTGAGGGGAGAGCAGGCTCCTACTTGAGGTACTGTGGAAGCTGGACCCCAGGAAGCAGCCACTTTTAGAGGCCTGGCTTAGCCTCAGTTCATGCTTGTGCCCTGGCCCCACTGTCCCAGTGTGGACTCTCTGGCCAGCCAGAGGTATATTTCTCTGCTGGCCACCTCCTTTGGAGGCCACTGGCCAGAGAGGGAGCTTCATGGTACCAAGTGGGTTGGGGCTGGGCTGGAGCAAGGAAGCCTTATGGGAAGCTGTTCGCAACTTCTGAGGCCAAGAGGGAGCAGCATTGCTCAGTAGGCCTAGGCCACGCCTCACTTCCTCCTGTCACCCTTTGGCTTGGGTCTCCGGAGCATTGGCTTAAAGGCTGGGTATGAAAAATGCCAAAGGCAGGTAGGGCTCATGGCTCTAGGCTACTGTGGGAGCTCTGGTCCTCAGTGGGAGACTGGAAGGGGCCAGAGCAGCACCAGAGCTGCAGGGAAGCAACCCCATCTGGGTCCCTCAGCACTGAAAGAACCCCTCACAGCCTTGTGGAACCTTCTGTAGACCTATGAAAGGGGATGTGTCTTTCTCACGGTCACATCATGGTGGGTCCTGGGGTAGATCTGTGACTAGAACCCAGGTTCCCACTTCCACAGTGTAGTGGCAGGTGGCCCTCACTGCTGCTGTCCCTCCCCAACAGGAGAACATAATGAAATCCAACATTGACAAGAAGTTCTCTGCACACTATGATGCTGTGGAGGCAGAGCTCAAGTCCAGCACTGTGGGTGAGGCACACCATCCTCTGCTGGACCCAAAGGCCTGCTACTTCCCTGGCTCGGGTGCAGGCCTTTACCCCCATGGCCCCTTACCTCGCAGGTCTTGTGACCCTAAATGACATGAAGGCCAAGCAGGAGGCCCTCGTGAAGGAGCGGGAGAAGCAGCTGGCCAAGAAGGAGCAGTCAAAGGAGCTCCAGCTGTGGGTGCTCTCCCAGCATGCAGCCCTCCCCTCGACCTGCTCCTGGGGCTTGGCAGCGGTCAGGCATTGCCTGCATCTTGGAGGGGTGACCCTGTGTTGTAATCAGAGCCCTGTCTGTGAGCTTGAGGTGACCCAGAGCAGTAGGACTCATTTGGGCCTGTGCCGTGTGGGCCTTACACTGAGCACACAGGCAGCTCTGGGCCCCCCAAGGGGCCTCAGGGTGGGGATGTGGTGTATAATGGCCCCCATGCCTTGGCAGGAAACTGGAGAAGCTGCGAGAGAAGGCCCGCAAGAAGGAGGCCGAGCGAAAGATCTCCAGCCTGTCCTTCACCCTGGAGGAAGAGTGGGAGGCAGGCGAGGAGGGGGACGAGGCGGCCCTGTACGAGGAGGAGCTGGAGAGGGAAGGTGAGGGCAGGCTTGGGGACTGGGGGGACCCTGCCAGCAGGAGTGCCTGGGGTTTCCGGCTCTAGGGTGAAGCAGCACAGTCAGCCAGCACCCAGCCTTGATGGCCCACTGTGTCCATGAGCCCAAACCTGGTGGGGCAGGGCAGGAGATGAAGGGCTGAGTAGGGGGTTTGCCTTCAGTCACAGAGCAAGTCAGAGCCAGGCGTGTGGCCTCTGGGCATGGGTGCGGGGTCTCAGTGCGAGAGGCTGCCAGAACGAGGCTGGTGCCTGATGAAGAAGGGTCCAGAAGCTGCCCTTCATAGGTGCCATGAAGGATGGACCCAGAAGGGGAGAAGGTCGTCTTCACCAGGCTGACTGGTAGGACTTTACACAATGATGAGAACGTGTCTGTGCTGCCAGGTGGCCACTGAGCTTGTGACTTGTGTGACTGGAGCACCAAACTGTTAAATCTGTCTGATTCATTTCAATGTAAATTGACACATTTCTTTATGTGCAGATCTAAGACAAGGGAGCAAAGGGCAACAGGAACAACTTGGAAAGGCTGGGGAGTAAGGACAAAACTGGTGTGGTGCCCCTGTGTGCCACATACCTGCCTTGGGCCAGGCCAGGCCTGGCGTAGATGGATAGAATCAGGGCACCAGCCATCTCCTTGGGGGTGTCCTGTGGGTCACTGAGTGCCTTGCTGGGGCCCAGGGCTCAGGAAAAGTGTCTTGTAGGGAGACAGTTGAGTTGGGTCCTCAGGATGAGGGGAATTTCTTGTGTAGCCAGAGAGACGGGGGTGGGGATGTGGGTAGAGCCGTGAGATGAGTACCTCTGAAGTAGAGCAGCAGGGTGGGCACAGTGGAGGGCTGGGAGGGCATGCTGGAAGCCCTGGGCGGATGTAGAAAGCCAAATGACCAGGGTATGCTGCTGGGGTAAACTGAGGCAGGGGATGACGGTGCATGGTGTGCGGACAGGCCCCATGTGATGGCTTGGAGGGGAGTGGCCTACCCGGTCAGGAGGAAGAGACTATGAGCAGCCTCCCAGGATTTCATGTGTTACAGGAGCCACAGGAATACAAACAGGTGACATTAATTTCAGTACTATTTAGCAATACTAAGTATGTAGTAATATTTGGTATCTGAAATATTATTAGCATGCTGTGGCATGGGTCTGTGTGGCAGGAGCCACCATTTTGGACAGTGCAGGTTTGGGGGAAGGCTGTCAACCTTGCTGTGTGTCACCAGGGATTTGCGGGCACTTATCCCCTGTGGAAGTTTTGTTTTGAGGGCCTGGTAATGGGGGCCATCATGGGATTTCTTTAAGCTCTCATGCAGCCAAGGGTCTGGAACCCTGCTCTGCAGGGGCAGGCTGGGGTGGCTTGTCTCCCTGGTCCTCAGTTCTCAAAAGACTGCCCCTGGGGGCCTCCAAGGTGCTTTAGGGGGAGGGAGGTGAGGTCAAAACCATTTTCATCATCATACTAAGACATGCATGGCCTTTTGCACTCTCACTGTCACGAGTACAGTGGAGTTTTCTAGAGGCCCCCTGACATGACATCATTGCTCAGAGAGCTAACAGAGTACGGGCTCTGCTGTTCTTGCATCTTCCACGTTTCTGGGGCTTCATTTCTAAATTGGTGAATGTCGATAGCTACAACCGTCACAGACAGGAGCCCTCTGCAGTCCTCAGTACCTTGTAAGAGCGGTCAGGATGCTGAGGCCAACTGGAAGAACACTGTTCTAAGTTAGGCATGTCCTGATCGGGAAAACGAGCCTTAGTGTGGCCTTGCCTTCCCTTCTCCCAACTGGCTTCAGTGTCAGTAGCTGTGGGACTTCAGTTTTTCCAGTGCAATGAGGCCTTCACTTGTTAAGCTGCTGGGACAGGAGCCAGGCCCTCAGTCTCCTCCTGTCCAGCTGCTGGCAGTGGAGACCAAGGTGGAAGCCCCTTGGCAAGGGTGCCTTTTAGGTGTCCATAGGTGCTGCAAAGAGGGCAGCGGAAGCCACTGTGGGAGCAGAAGGTGGCGCGCCCCAGCCAGGACAGTCTCGAAAGCCTCCAATGAGGTGGCGTTTGAGCCAAGACCTCAGTGACAAAGGTCTAGAGGGCCCCAGTGGGGCCCAGAGCCCAGCTGACCGTTGTGCTTCTTTTTGTTCCAGAGATCACCACAAAGAAGAGGAAATTGGGGAAGAACCCAGATGTGGACACGAGCTTCTTGCCTGACCGAGACCGTGAGGTAAAGGCAGCCTGCCCCAAGCCCGGGAGTGGGCCTGCCCCCGGGACAGCTCTGGGCCTCGCCTTTACCCATGCCCTCTCCCAGGAGGAGGAGAATCGGCTCCGGGAAGAGCTGCGCCAAGAGTGGGAAGCCAAGCAGGAGAAGATCAAGAGTGAGTGCTGGCCAAGTGGGGTGCTGGGCGCTGAGCCCCAGGGAGGCTGCAGGGGTGGGGACACCTGGGTCTGATGGCCAAGTGGCAATGCTGCTCTTTGTAGGTGAGGAGATTGAAATCACCTTCAGTTACTGGGATGGTTCTGGGCACCGGCGGACAGTCAAGGTAGGCAGTGTGGGGCCTGCACCCTGCTGTTTGTGCCCCTCAGGCCCACACTTCTTGGATCCAGTGGGAAGCTTTCAATCCTGACTTTAGGAGCCCGCAGGCCCCTTCGTGTTGGTGGCCCCTGGGGAGCTGGAAGGGAGCAGATAAGAGGCTCCGGGCCCCTGTGGGAGCAGTGAGGGCTCCAGGGTCCCTGGCAGTGGCCTCCGTCTTTCCTTCCCAACTCTTTGGTTTTCTGGACACCGTCTCTCGGGCCACTGACACAGATGAAAAAGGGTAACACGATGCAGCATTTCCTGCAGAAAGCACTTGAGATCCTGCGCAAAGACTTCAGTGAGCTCAGGTAGGGCTGTGTGTACGTGGGGCCTGCAGTCCCAGCCCTGCTCCCAGAGACCTCAGGGGGTGGCTGCTGCTTGCAGTGTACCAGGGTGACCTCTCCCTGGGTAGGAAAGTGGCATGCTAGGCACTGTGCCCCTGAGAAGTGGGTCAGGCCCCTTTTTCCAGCCCTCTCCCCTTAGAGAGCTTAGGTGGGAATGCCTTAGATCTTAACCCAGAGGTGGAGGGCGGTGGGGTGCTAGCCCTGGCCTGGCCAGACCTTGCAGCCTGCCCGAAAGCATTCTGGGCCACTGCCTCCCAGCCCCGGCACCAGGCTTCATTGGCTGGCTGCTTCCTCATCTGTGCACACACTCCTGCCTTTCTCCCTTAGGTCAGCAGGGGTGGAGCAGCTCATGTACATCAAGGAGGACCTAATCATACCCCACGTGAGTGCCTTCTCTCCTCCTGCAGTCGCGGGCAGACAGGCAGCAGGAGGAGTGCTGGGCCTGTGGGCGGATGGTGGGAGAGGCCAAGACGGGTCATCAGCTGTTGCTTTCTTGCCCTTGGCCCCTAGCACCACAGCTTCTATGACTTCATTGTTACCAAGGCGCGGGGGAAGAGCGGTGAGTGTGACCAGCCCAGCCCCTTCCCATTCCCCAGCAACTTGCCCCAGTATCGCAGGGCAGTCGTGTGATGGGGGGCTGGCCTCCTCTGCCCCGCAGGGCCACTCTTTAATTTTGATGTTCATGATGATGTGCGGCTGCTCAGTGACGCCACGGTGGAGAAGGACGAGGTACAGTGATGCAGGGACCCTGGGTGGTGGGAGGGGAAGTGGAAGGAAGGGGAGGTCCCCTGCGTGGCCCTGACCCACAGGGCTTGGCCCTTCTCCCTTCCCCAGTCGCACGCGGGCAAGGTGGTGCTGAGGAGCTGGTATGAGAAGAACAAGCACATCTTCCCTGCCAGTCGCTGGGAGCCCTACGACCCGGAGAAGAAGTGGGACAAGTACACGGTGAGGAGAGAGCACATGGGCTGGGCAGCTGGCTCTGGGGGGCCGTGGCTGGCCTGGCTGGGGGTGGGCTTCCCTGCCCTGCAAGAGGACCTGCTCAGCTCAGCTTCCCCCGACTCTCATGCCCACCCCAGATCCGGTGAGTGCAGGCTGGCTGCGCCGCCCCAGCTCCTTGGCTCCAGCCCAGCCCGTCCCTGCATTTCCAGCCTCCGGCCACGAGCTTTCCTGTCTGATGTTGCCGTTCAGAGATGTGAGGATGCTGTTTGTCATGTTCTGCTTTTCTCTTTTATGGTAAAGGAGTGCAAGTCAGAGTTGGGGTGCCTGTGCTGTGTTCTGTTTTAAAATTTTCTTTATTGAGATAAAACTCATATACCATAAAAATCACTGTTTTGGCCATTTGAGAGTGTATAACTCAGCCCCCCCCCCACATCTGCTTTCTGTCTGGGCAGATTTGCCTCTTCTGGAATATCAGAAGAAGGAGCTCAGGCAGTGCTCGAGTCTAGAATGAATGGGGGCATTTGCCACTCACTGGGGTCTGGGCAGGCCCACACATCTCTGCACGCAGCCCACCCTCCCTCCTGCTCCCGCGTGCCATCATTGTGGTCTTGACCCTAGCAGGTCGGGCTGCTCCTCCCCAGGCCTCCCTCTCAGGCCCTTGGACTCCTCTAGTATCTCTTAGCTGCCCAACCTGTAGGGGGCATGGCTGTCCTGGGGCTCCAGCCCCTCTACGTGCGTACCGCAGCTGCACACACCCACCCTGGGATTTTTGCAGCGTCCCTCCCCCAGCACTGACGAGGGAGGCCGGCTTGCTTTGGGCAGCCCTTACTTCCCCCTCACCTGCCCCACCTCAGCCAGCCCTGCCCCGACTGCACGGGGAACCGGTCAGTGTCCTGGCGCCAAGGGGGAAACTGCCCTGGGGTGGGTGCTCCCACCCCTCAGCCCCGCCTCAGCCGCCAGTCCCCAGGCCCAGCTTCAGGAGGCTGAGGAAGGCAAGCGGTCCTGCTCTTCTTCCCTTTCCCCATGGCTGAGCAGAGGGACTGGGGGATAGGCTCTGGGTCTGGCCCCACCTCCCAGACATACAGACCTGATGGTGGCGGCCTTTGCTGCGTGGAGGGACTCCTATGCCCTCCCATGGGCAGGGCCTTGTGTCTTGTTGGGCAGTGTGTCAGGCAGTGCCACCCACAGTCACTTGGATGAGGGAGTAGGGCAGGGTAGGCTAGAGTGCCTTGGGGCACACCAGGAACTGGGTTCACCGGGCCTGACCCTAGGTCCCAGACATGGGGGGCATGTCCAAGGCCCTCCATGTGCCTTTTGTTAGGTTCCAGGAACCCTGAAGAGGGAATCATCTGACCTTCTGCATCGACCCCTGCCACCCTCTTTGAGAAGCCACCAGAACAGCAGGGTTTTCCCGGGGAAGCCCAGGAGCCCCTCTCAGCCAGGTCACCTAAGGGCAGATGGTTTTCAATGGAGCCACCTTTGGCCCCACAATTTCTGGAAACAAGCTCCCTGAGGACCGATCTTGGGGCTTGGCAGGGAAGGACCTGGTTTTTGGAAGCAGCCCTAAGTCCCTGGGAGGTTGGGTAGTCAGTGAGGGTACCCTTTGGAGTCAGGATCCAGGGGACTGTCAAGGAAAGATACCTACTTCCTTTTGGCAGCAAGGGGCCAGAAAGGCTGCACCAGGGCTGGGAGTCCAAGGGAGGAGCACCTTGTCCTAAGTAAGGGCTGTGGTGGCGGGCTGGCAGCTGAGCTGGAAGAAGGTCAGCAGAGCAAGCTTCTTGCAGAAGGTCCGCTTGGCCACCAGTGCCGGGTGGCCTCAGGCACCCATGTTCCTGCCTGCTGCCATAGGCCGCGCTCCTGCCAGAAGGGAGCTGTCCAGGCCTACGAGCCCTCTCCCTGGGATGCTGGATCCACGTGAGTGAGGAGCTCAGAGGAGAGGTTGGGGAGCTGCTGGGACCTTGATTATGATGATGCTCGAGAACTTCACAGGGCCGCTGAGATCACTGAGTGGTTGCCAGTATTTCCAGGGACCAGTGTGGGCTAGGGGTAGGCTAGGCACCAAAGATCCAATGGAGAGGGGAAAGCTGGCCCTACGTTGCTCACCCAGGCTTCGTTCCTGGTGTGTGTCTGGCTGGGGGCTGGGGGGCGGTGGCTATGCCCGTGTGCGGATATAAACAAATGGGGAAACAGGACATGAGCGAGCAGGCTGAAGTGGAGGGGGGGTGTTCCAGGCAGAGGGAGCAGCAGGTTTGAAGACACTAGTGGACAGGTTGGAGGTGAGCAGGGCTGGATGGAGGGAAGGAGAGGGAGAGAGGAAAGATCACAGAAGTAGGGCCTGGGAGGTGCGTAGGAGGAGTGGATGCTGATCTTTTCATGTTTACCTGTAACTGTTCTGTAGAGGCCAAGTCTTCACCTGGTTCACACATTAGCACAAAAGGGCAGACGTAGAGATGCCTCACCTGTCCAGCCCTTGTCACTTAACAATATGTTGGAATATCCTGCATGGCTCTCCACATCCGTGCATGTAGAGCCTCCTCATTCTTTTTTAAGCAGCATAATTCTCCAGATACTGGCAATTTCCTCACCTAGGGCCTGTCCCATTTTACAGCCCCACCAGCAGGTGAGAGTCCTGGCTCCCCTGTGCCTCACCCACAGGACACTGCCACTCACTGGTCAGGGAACATATGCAACCTGGGATGGGACATGTGGTCACTCAGTAAGGGGCTTTATTTTATTTACTTACTTATTTACTTATTCACTGTTTATAAGTTATTCATTTCTTTATTTGCTAACTTCCAGTGGGCTTTATTTTTTAATATTTTTCAACTGAGGGAAAACATAACATAAAAATAACCATTAACCATTTAAATATGTATGTTTCAGTGGCATTTAGTGCACTCATGATGTCGGGCGGCCATCACCTCTGCGTATTCCCAGAACATCCTCGTCACCTCAAAGAGAGGCCCTGTGCCCCACCCCTGCAGCTCCTATAGGGGAAGGTTCACATAAATGTAATCATATAATTAAAGAGGATGACTGTATTAGGTTTGTATTGCCATGTAACAAAGTAATGAAAACTCAGTAGCTTAAAACAATACCCATTTATTATTTATTTATATTAAAAAAAATTTTTTTATTAAGGTATTGTTGCTATACACTCTTATGAAGGTTTCACATGAAAAAACAATGTGGTTACTACATTTACCCATATTATCAAGTCCCCCCCAAACCCCAGTGCAGTCACTGTCCATCAATGTAGTAAGAAAAATAATACTCATTATATACTTGACAGTTTCTGCAGGTCAGAAGTGCAGGCATAATGTAACTGGGTCATTTGCTCCGTGTCCTACAAGGCTGCAATCAACATTGGCCAGCTCTCCTCTCATCTGAGCCTGGGGCCCTCTCCCAACCTCACGTGGTTTTGGTAGAATTCAGTTTCTCATGACTGTAGGGCGCAGGTCCCTGTTCTCTTGTTGGCTGTTGGCTAGGGTCTCAGCTCCTAGAGGACCCTTGAGGCTTCTTGCCACCTTCTGCCCTCCATAGCCCCTCTCATGCTTCAAATCTCTGCTTCAGGAAGGGTCCAGTCTGGGTTAACGGCTCACCCATTTAGGTCAAGCCCACACAGATAAGATTCCTTTTGATGAACTCAAAAGTCAGCGGATTACTAACCTAACCATGGGAGTGATGTCCCAGCATGTGCAGAGGTTCTGTTCTGCTTCAAGGGGATGGGGTTATATAGGCTTGTACACTAGGAGGTGGGAAACTTGGGAGTCATCTTAGAATTCTTCCTCACAATGACAACTCTCCCCAAAGTGATCTATGAATTCAGTGCAATCCCTACCTCAAGCCCCAGCGTGCTTTTCTGTAGAAACTGACAAGCTGATCCTCAAATTATATAGAATGCAGAGGACCTAGAATACCCAAAACAATTTTCAAAAAGAGGAACAAAGCTGGAGGGCTCACATTACTGATTTGAAAACCTACCATGAAGGCACAGTGATCCAGTATGGTTTACCACAAGGATAGGCTATAGGTGCACGGCACAGAACTGGGAGTCCGGAAGTAAATCTTTACATTTATGGTGTATAAGAAATGGTGCTGGAGCAGTCACATGTCTGTGAGCTTCAGCCCTGATGTTATGGGTTGAATTGTTGAATTGTGTTTCCTATAAAGATACCTTGGAGTCCTGTCCCCCAGTACCAGTGACTGGAACCTAGTGTGGAGACAGTTCTTTACTGATAGAATTGAGTTAAGATGAGGTCATACTGGAGGAAGATGGGCCCTAATTCAGTATGACCGGTGTCCCTTTAAAAAGAAGAGACAGATAGACACAGGGAGGAGGCCACGTGATAACAGAGACTGGAGTGATCCATCTACAAGCCACGGAACATCAAGAATCGCCCCCCACCAGCAGAAGCTCGAAGAGACGAGGAAGGACCCTCCCCTGGAGCCGCTGGAGGAAGCTCGGCCCTGCCCACACTTCAGCCTCAGACTTCTGGCCTCCAGGCTGGGAGAGGATAAATTTCTGTTCTTGTAAGCACCCCAGTGTGTGGTACTATGTTATGGCTGCTTGAGGATCTCATGTGCCTTATTTAGACCACACAGAAAAATGAACTTGATATGATGAACTTGTAGACCTAAAAGTAAAACCTAAAACTAAAAAAAAAATGTAAAAAAGCATAGGAGAAAATCTTTGAGACCAAGGCCCCTCCACCCAACACCAGGTAGCAGCTACAAAGGGACCTCAGAGGGCCCCCTGGGCTGCTGGAGATGGCCTGTATCTTGACCAGAAGGTGATTGCATACGTATAGGCAATACATTTGTAAAAACTCATCAAACTACTCCTAAAATGGGGTCATTTTATTGTCTGCAAATCATGCCCCCAGTAAAGCTCAATTTAAAAGGAGAAAAGAAAGAAGGCAATTGATGAAATTGGTCACCTAAAGGGGCTGGGAGGGAATCAGGTGGTAGGGATATGGGAAGAGGTGGTGTTCCCCTGTGTACTGAAGGATCAAGCAAATGGGTCAATATATTGATGTTGTTGGGAGCCAGGTCTCCCACTGTTGGACAAGGGAAATACAAATATAGATTGGGGAAAGAGTAAGAACTTTTGCTATGGAATTGGAAGGGGAGGTGTTAGCATGCACTTACGATTTTACACACACACACACACACACACACACACCGTAGCTCTGCCTGCTGCGAGTGCCTAAGAACATGACACCCCAGTAGCAATGAGCCCAGCTTGGCCCCATATCTTGGTTTCCAAATATTACTCTCCCTAACAGAAATCTGGGTTCTTTTGAAAAATGGCTGATTCCAGGGCTGGGGCAAGGAAAATACAAGAAACATCAGGAGGCTTGCCAAAAATAATAAGGTACTTAAAGAATGATGGGGACATGTCAGAAGGGCACAGGAGCCAACTTAAGGGACCAAACTGAGACAATTTGAGCATAAAAATGAATAATTACCAATAATAGATTATAATCCATTGAACAGAATCGAGATCCGCAAGTCCATACTGATAATGAATACATAGGTAGATACACAGAGGAAACTCTTCCTGACAGTAGAATGCGAACAAATGAAGGCAGGAGGATCATGGAGGGAGAAACAATCACTCTTTGGCACCCATCAGAGCCATCATTCATTAACGCAAGAATTCTCAATGATTGGGTGACATTTTGATGAATATTCATCTAGTTTGACAGTATCTTCCTACAAACTGCTTTTTAGTTACAAAGGGAAAAGTAGTAACTGTCCACTTGAGAAACTGGCAGTTACTATCTTAACCAACCTGAAGTGAACATCACAGTGAGGGGACAAATGGACAACATGCTTCCTGAGGGGAGGCCAGAGCCAGAGGGTGTGGGATCCTCCCAATACCGCGCTGCCTCCATCTGTTCATGAGAAAACATCTGACAAAACCCAGACTGGCGGAGAGTCTACCAAATACCTGGCGGGCACTCTTCAAAAATGTCCATGTCATGAAATACCAAGAAAAGCCGAGGAATGTTCCAGATTATAGGGAACTAAAGAGATGTGACAACTAAATGCAACATGGGATCCTAGACTGGATCCTGGATCAGAAAGAACAAAGCTGCAAAGGACATTAGGGGGACAATTGGTGAGATCTGCATAAGATCTTAGATTTAAATAATATTATTGTAATAACATTAACATTTCTGATGTTGATAGTTATCTTATGGTTATGTAAGTGGCTGTAGGCATTATACTGTGGTTATGAAGTACAGAGTGGAGTATTTAGGGATAAAAGAGCAAGGTGTATGCAACTTTCTTTGAAATAGTTCAGAAGCATTATCTTTGTGTATCGTAAATATATATAATATATGTGTATACATGCATGAGAAAGAGAGCAAGAGAACTTGAACATGAGAAAGCGAATGGGGCAAAATATGAACTATTGGTGAATCTGTGTTAAGGGTACATGGGAGCTATCTGTACTATTCCTGCAGCTTTTCTGTAAGTCTGAAATAATTTCAAATTATAAGATTAAAAAGCAAGCACCTACTTCTATCCAACATTTGACTGGGGGGTCTAGCCAGGGCAACTGGCAACAAAATCAAATAAAAGCCATCCAAATTGGAAAGGAAAAAGTAAAACCATCATTATTATTAGATGACATGATCTTGTATGTGCAAAATATTAAGAAATTTGCTAAAACACTATTAGAGCTAATAAGTTCAGCAAGGTGGCAGCATATAAGGTTGATGTACAAAAATCAATTGTATTTTCCTACACAGCAATGGACAATCCAAAATGAAATTAAAAGAAAACAATTCCATTTACAAATAGCATCAAAAAGAATAAAATACTTAGGAATAAACTAAACAAAAGAAGTGCAAGTCTTGTACACTAAAAACTACAAAATATCATTGAAAGAAATTAAAGAACACCTAAATAAATTGAAAGACATCTGTTTAGCCGGGATTCTCCAGAGAAACAGAACAGGACACACACACACACACACACACACACACACACACACACACACACACAATTTATTTTGAGGAAGTAGCACCTGTGATCGTCGGGATTGGCAAGTTGGCAGGCCAACAAACTGGAGACTCAGGCAAGATTTCTACATTACAGTCTTGAGGCAGAATTTTAAGGCCTTTCCTTTAGTGGATGGGACCCACCTAGAGTATGGAGGATAATTTTTGGTTAAAATCAACCAATTGTAGAGTTTGACCACATCTAAAAAGTACCCTCACAGCAATACCTAGATGAGTGTTTGAGTAATAAATGTGGGGGGGCCTATAGCCTAGCCAAGCTGAAATTAATAAACATAAAATTAATCATCACAACATCCATGTTCATGGATGGAAAGACTTGATCTGTTGAATGACAACACTCCCCAAATTGATCTATAGATTCAATTCAGTCTCTATTAAACTCCCATTGACTTCTTTGCAGAAATTAATGAGCTCATCCTAAATTCATGTGGAAATTCAAGGGACCCTGAATAGCCAGAACACTCTTAAAACAGAAGAACAATTTGGAGGACTCACAATTCCCAGTTTCAAAACTTACTACAAAACTACCATGATCAAGACAATATTAGCATAGGATAGACATATAGGTCAGTGAAACAGAATTGAAAGTCTGGAAATAAACCCATATATCCACTGTCAATTGATTTTTAATGAGCTTTCCAAGAGCATTCAATGGGGAAAGAATAGTCTTCTCAACAGATGGTGCTGAGATAACTGGGACAACACATGCAAAAGAATGAAGTTGGACCACAGTCTCGCATCATATCCAAAAATTAACCCAAAATGGGTCAGAGACCTAAGTTTAAGAGTGAAAACTGCAAAACTCTTAGAGTAAAACATAGAGATAAATCTTTGTGACCTTAGATTAAGCAATATTTTCTTAGATATGACAACAAAATCACAAACAACAAAAGAAAGATAAATTTACATCATCAAAATTTAGAACTTTTGTGTATCCGAGTACACCATCAAGAAAGTGAAGAGAACCCAGAGAATGAGAGGAAATATTTGCATATCATATATATAAAGGATTAATATCCAGAATTTATAAAGAACTCTTACAACTCAACAACAAAACAAAAACCCAATTAAAAAAATAGGCAAATAACTTGAATACATTTCAGATTTCTTTGTAGATCAAAGAAGATACACCAACAAACTCATGAAAAGATGCTCAACATCATTTGTCACTGGGGAAATGCAAATCAAAACAAGATATTTCACACCCACTAGGATGACTAGAAACAAAAAAGTCAGATAATAAAAAGTGTTGGTGAGACAACATGGATGGAGCTGGAGGGTATTATGCTCAGTGAAATAAGCCAGGCAGAGAAAGACAAGCACCAAATGATTTCCCTCATCTGTGGAGTATTAAGAACAAGGAAGAAACTGAAGGAACAAAACAGCAGCAGAATCACAGAACCCAAGAATGGACTCACAGTTACCAAAGGGAAAGGGACTGGGGAGGATGGGTGGGAAGGGAGGGAGAAGGGAGAAGGGGGAAAAGGGGCATTACGATTAGCACACATAATGTAGGGGTGGCACGGGGAAGGCAGTATAGCACAGAGAAGGCAAGTAGTGATTCTATGGCATCTTACTACGCTGATGGACAGCGACTATAATGGGGTATGTGGTGAGGACTTTGATGGGGGGAGTCTAGTAACCACAATGTTGCTCATGTAATTGTTCATTAATAATACCAAAAAAAAAATGTTGGTGAGGATGTGAAGAAATTGGAGCCTTCATCCACTGCTGATGGGAATGCCAAATGGAAAGCAGTTTGGCCATTTTTCTAAAAATCTTTAAAATGGAGCTATCATGTGACCCAGCAATTTCACTTAAGGGTGTAAGGTAAATGGAAATGTGTTCACACAAAAACTTGTACATGAATATTCCTAGCAGCATTATTCACAGCAGCAGAAAGATGGAAACAATCCAAATGTCCACTTGTTGATGATGGGTAAATAAAATGTGATAGATCCATATAATGGAATGATATTTGGCCCTAAAAAGAAAGGAAGTCCTGATCCGTGCTACAATATGAACCTTGAAAACATGATGGTAAATGAAAGAACCCAGATGCAAAATGTACATGCACATTGGATGAATCCATTTATATGAGATGTACGGAACAGGCAAACCCATAGTCAGAAAGAGAGCAGTGGGTGCTAGTAGGTGGGAGAAGGGAGACTGGAGAACCACGGCTAGTGGGTGTGGTGGTTCCCTAGGGGGTTGATGAAAATCTTCTGCAATTTGATAGTGGGGATGGCGGCATAACTTTGTGAATATACTAAAAGTCACTGAATGTTACACTTTCAAGGAGTGACCTGTATGATGGGTGAATTATATCTCGGTAAAGCTGCTCAAAAAGAACCGAAGAAAGCAAGCGAATGAAAACCCGGGATTTAGGGCCGTGGTGGCCGGCCGGGGAAGGGACCCGGAGTAAATAGCTGACAGCCTGGAGCGCGGGCGCCGGGCCCTTGCTGGTGTTAGCCGCGGGCCCTCCGGGCTGCGGACCGTCAGGGGGAGAGTGTCCCAAGCTAGGACCGCGAGTCCTCGGCTGATGTGCGCCCGACCGGTCGAGAGGCGGCCGCCCCGCACCTGCAGCAGGTGGTGCCGAGCGCGCCCGCGAGCGCCCGGGTGGGGTTAGGGCGGGGCGGAGAGGGGCGGGGCCGGCGCGCGCCCCCGGCCCGAGGGGTGTGTACGTGTATGGGGGGGCGCGCGCGCGGGGCCCCAGGTTGCCCGGGGCGGCGGCGGGGGGAAGGGGGAGAGGCGCGCGCCGGACGCGGCCATTGCGCGAGGGGAGGCGGCTCTCTGGGCGCGGACCCGCCACCCGCTCCTCCCCGGGCGCCCCCGCCCGGCCTGGTGGTACGGTCCGAGCTTAAAAAGCCCCGGCGGCCGCGGGCTGGCATAGTGTGTGGGCGGCGGCGGCGCGCGAGACCTCGGGCGCGGTGGCGCGGGCGCGCGAGCGGGGGCCGGGGCAGGGCCTGGGGCGCCGTCCACGTGGTTGGCGGGCTGCCACCCGGAGCCGGCGGCTGCGGAGGGACAGGTAGGTGGCTGCAACCCCCCGCCGCTCGTGCGGGATTCAGTGCGGCCTTGAGGCCCTGCGTCTGCTCCCCCCCTCGGGCGCTGGCCAGACCGGTCCTTCATGCCCCGAGCCCTTAGAGGGATGGTAGAGCCCCTCTGCCCGAGGGAACCCTTTGTGGTGGAGGAGCGGCCCCTCCAAGGACGGCTGCGGCGCCCCCAGATGCAGGGTCTCCGTGGGTCTGCTGAGAGATTCCCTTGGTGGGGGCAGGGCGAGCCAGGCCTGCAGCAGGGAGAGGGGCACTGGGGAGTGGGCGCTGGAGCAGCGTCTCTGCGAGGGGCTGTCCCCCTCCTCTGACCTGCCGTCGTCCCCGTTCCTAGGCTTGTCTTCCCGAGAGAGATGGAGTAGGTGAGGTTGGGACGAGGCCTCTTTTCTCTATCGCTTTCTTTTTTTCTCTGACTGTTGCATTGAAGGTCCAGGATGCAGACCTGACAAAAGAGCCTGGAGCAGTGATAGGTCTGAGTCGAAACTGGGTTTCAAGCTGGGCCTGTTTCTTGTTGTAGCAAATGCATTTTTTTCCTCTCCGTCTTCTATGCCTCTTTGATTTGGTTCCCTGCAACCCTCTGCCCCCCAAGCTGGGTACCTTGTGTCTCCCTTTAGACTTGGGCATTGACAGGGTAGCACTGAGCCCTGCCCCTTTGGCTGCCACAACACTTCTCTGCTGGTTTTGTGGCCTGAGGCTGGCTGGAGAGCTGGGTGTGGCCTGGGGGGTGAAGGGCAGAGACCTGGCCAAGCTGAGCACTGTCCCTATTCCCCCAGTCCCATCTCCTCAAGGCCTCGCTGTATTTGGCAATGTTGCTCCCCTTAGGGCTCCTTGGGCCCCCCTGCACCGGCCCTTCCCCAGCTAACCCCTGGACCTGGAGGGAGAGCCGCCTAGGGCTGCCTGGGCCAACTGTCTGGCTGTGCCTGAGCAGAACCGGACTTATGTCTGTCTTGGTGCTTGGCTGTGGGGACAGTCATGCCTCGGCTTTGTGGTTGCAGCAGAGAGGGCAGACAGCAGGCTTCTGGAGAGCCAGCTGAGTGAGGCCCCCCCAGGCAAAGAGGCAGCTGGGGCCAGGACTGGGGAGGTGGTGGTGCTGGGTCCAATTTCAGGCCTCGCTGCCCCAGATCTCTGTCCCAAGGGCTCCTGGTGGCAGTGCCACTCTGGGTGATGGTCTCCCCCCAACACCACTTGTGATCTCTCCCTGCCTTTCTCTTTCCCCACCTTGGGTATGGGGCGTCTCTGTGGCCTGGGGCTTGCCCACGGTAGCTCTTGTGTGGCTGGCTGTCCTCAGCTCTGGGATCTGGTGTTCGGGTTCTTGTTCCAGGAGGGCCTCCCACCCTGCTTTTCCCAGCATCTGGCTCTGCTGCCCCTTGGGTGTGGCCCAGCTGAGGCAAGGACTCCTGGCACTTTTCCAGTGGGGGGTGAGCGGTGGGAGATGATTGATGGCCCCCAAGCCTGCCTGCACTTGCTGCTTACTCATGCACCCTGGTGGGGGGCCCTCTTTTCTCCCAGCCTTGGTAACCATCTAGGACTCTGGTCTGGTGGTGAGTGGCCTCCACCCTTTGTGGTACAGAGCTCAGCCTGCCAGGAGCCCTGGGCCAGGCCAGGCAGGAGGGCTGGCAGCCTGGCCTGGGGGGCCTCTGACTTACCCTCACCATTTCTTCTCAGGCCCATTCCTGGGTGTAGCTGCTGGCCATGCACGCTGTCTGCCTCCTCCCACTGTTCCTCCTCGCCATGGCGGGGGCCCTGGGCAGCAGCAAGACCTTCCCCACCTTCTCGGTGACAGATACCACGCTCACCCACCTGGCTGTGCACCGGGTGACCGGGGAGGTCTTTGTGGGCGCAGTGAACCATGTCTTCAAGTTGGCCCCCAACCTGACTGAGCTGCGGGCCCACGTCACAGGGCCTGTTGAAGACAATGCTCGCTGCTATCCGCCGCCCAGCATGCGTGTGTGCGCCCACCACCTGGCGCCTGTGGACAACGTGAATAAGCTGCTGCTCATAGACTATGCAGCCCACCGCCTGGTAGCCTGTGGTAGCGTCTGGCAGGGCATCTGCCAGTTCCTGCGCCTGGACGACCTTTTCAAACTGGGCGAGCCACACCACCGCAAGGAGCACTACCTCTCGGGGGCCCGGGAGCCCGACTCCATGGCAGGTGTTATTGTGGAGCAGGGCCAGGGGCCCAGCAAGCTGTTTGTGGGTACTGCTGTGGATGGCAAGTCCGAGTACTTCCCTACCCTGAGCTCCCGCAAGCTTATTGGTGACGAGGACGGCGCCGACATGTTCAGTCTGGTGGGTGCCCTTTCGGGCTAGCTGTGAGCCCTCCTTGCCTGGCCTCTCTTCTCACACCCCTCTCAAGAGCCCATTCCCGTTTCCCTCCTGCCTTCACCCTGTCCTGGCTCTGCCCCTCCAAGAGCCCTGGCCTGAGAGGGGACAAGCTGCTGAGGACAGGCTGGGGCATAGGACAGGGCTGCTCACCCTGCCCTCTGTGGCCTTTCTGGCCTGGGTTCCAGTGGCCATATTGGTGCGCTACGGTGGTTGTGGGGAAGCCCTGGGGAGACTGTGTCTTGGGAGCAGGGCCAGTGCAGGTTGGAGGGACCAGGCCGAGGGACCAGGGTTCAGGAGATTGATGAAGGACCCAGGCCTTGTCTCATGCTGTCTCTCCCACCTGCTCTGTAGGTGTACCAGGATGAGTTTGTCTCCTCGCAGATTAAGATCCCATCAGACACACTGTCCTTGTACCCTGCCTTTGACATCTACTACATCTATGGCTTTGTGAGTGCCTCCTTCGTGTACTTCCTGACGCTGCAGCTGGACACCCAGCAGACACTGCTGGATACGGCAGGGGAGAAATTCTTCACATCCAAGATCGTGCGCATGTGCGCAGGGGACTCGGAGTTCTACTCCTATGTGGAGTTCCCCATCGGCTGCTCCTGGCACGGTGTGGAGTACCGCTTGGTGCAGAGTGCCCACCTGGCCAAGCCTGGCCTGCTGCTGGCCCAGGCCCTGGGTGTGCCTGCCGATGAGGATGTCCTCTTCACCATCTTCTCTCAGGGCCAGAAGAACCGGGCCAGCCCGCCCCGGCAAACCATCCTCTGCCTCTTCACCCTCAGCAATATCAATGCCCACATCCGGCGCCGCATCCAGTCCTGCTATCGCGGGGAGGGCACGCTGGCCCTGCCCTGGCTGCTGAACAAGGAGCTGCCCTGCATCAACACTGTGAGCATCCTCTCACCTCAGTCCAAGCCCAGGCTGGGCCTTCTGCCCCTTCCCAGGTCTGCAGGCTCTGGCAGGCCAGCTGGCTTGTCCCAGGCTTGGTGTGGCCTTGGGAGTGGCACCCCTGCTCTGGAACACTTGTTGCTCCCTGGCAGGGGTATCCTGCTGTCTCTCATCCTCTCTCTGCCTCTGCTGCTTTGCTTTCCTCCCTGGCTTGCCTTCTCACCAGCCCTCTGGGTGGGCCACCTTTCCTCTTCATTTCATGGGTGTCCCTTGCTGTCTTGAGTCAGCAACAGTCTCCAGCCTGTCCCTGTCTTGCAGACCCAGGCCTTGCTCTCCTCACCCAGCTCCTGTGTTCTCTCCCTCCTCAGCCCTGCACTGCCTGTGGGGTCCCAGGACAAGCAGTTGGTCTTGGCTGGTGGGGAGCAAGTACCAGCTCCTGCTCCCTTCCCAAATGTGGAGCCCCATGGCCTCTGTCCAGCTGGTGCCCCCGGGCTCTGCCTCTTACACCTGCCCTCCTGTCTCGCCAGCCCATGCAGATCAACGGGAACTTCTGTGGACTGGTGCTGAACCAGCCGCTGGGAGGCCTGCATGTGATTGAGGGGCTGCCCCTGCTGGCTGATGGTGCGGACGGCATGGCCAGTGTGGCTGCCTACACCTACCAGCAGCACTCAGTGGTTTTCATCGGCACACGCAGTGGCAATCTCAAGAAGGTGGGGGTTGGGGCAGACCCTCCAATACAGGCTGAGGAGTAGGGGTGAGGATGCACAGGCAAGCCTCTCGAGACTGGGTGCAGGGCACTGTGCCTGTGGGGTGAGGGGAGTGGCCCCTCAGCCATCTGCCCTCACCACCACCAGTGCCCACTGGCCTGAATTGCTGGCTTCATATGGCTCTGGGGACAGTCAGCAGATCTGTCGTGGGGCCTCCCTGCCAGGAGAGCAGGGGCCATGGCTGAGCCATCATGGCTGGGTCATCAGTCAAATGAGTGAGGGAATAACTGTGGACGTAATTCCCTTTGGCCTCTTGTCCCCTCATGGCCACTGGGGCTGCAGCGCAACAGCTACTTCTGTTCCAGGCCTGGGGCTAGCGTGAAAGGGAAAGCTGAACTCCCAGGAGCTCTGATGTATTTCTGAAGGGAGAGGAGTCTTGTCTGGCAGATACAGAGCTGTCCCTGGGAAGGTTTGTGGTGGCCAGGGGAAAGTTTGTGAAGGGGCCACTGTGCTCTTGGGGCCTAGCCTGCTCCCCCCAGGGCCCTTGTTGCATTTGTAACAGCTTTGTCGGTGGGGTATAATTTCTGTAACATAGACTTCCCTTATTTAAAGTGTACGTTGCAGCTGTTAAGATTGCAGAGTTGCACAACCATCACCACCATCTCATTCTGGGATATTGTCATCACCCTAAAACACCCTGTGCCTTTGAGTCATCACCCCTTCTCCCCAGCCTCCATCCCTAGGCAGTACTGATCTATATCCTGGGAGGCCTTTCTGACTAAATCACCCCCAAGAGCCTCCAGGGGGCAGCCTTTGCACCCTCCTTCCTCCACTCATGGGGACCGTTGGAGCAGGCCTGCCGAGTGCTGAGCCCTGTGAGGCCCTGGCTTCAGCTAGGCCACAGCCTGGAAAGTCTCTGGCTCAAGAAGAGGATGCCCTAGGTACATAGGGTGCTGCTGTGGCATCAGACTGCCTTATCACCCTCCTGCCCTGGTCCTGTGGCCCAGGTGCGGGTCGATGGCTTCCAGGATGCTCACCTGTATGAGACGGTGCCTGTAGTGGATGGCAGCCCCATACTCCGAGATCTGCTCTTCAGCCCTGACCATCAACACATCTACCTCCTGAGTGAGAAGCAGGTGGGCCCGTGGAGGGCGGTGGCAGGTGGGGGGTGGTGGTGGAGGGGGTGCTGACGTGGCTGTCCACAGGTGAGCCAGCTCCCAGTGGAGACGTGTGAGCAGTACCCGAGCTGTATAGCCTGCCTGGGCTCGGGGGACCCACACTGTGGCTGGTGTGTGCTGCAGCACAGGTGAGGTGCAAAATGGCTGGTGCAAATGACTGGTGGCACCGGCTTGCTGAGGCCCTGGTCCTGGGAGGAGCTGGCTAGGCCTGTTGGCAGGGGAGGGCAGTGTCTGCCCTTGCCCACATGCCCAGTTCTCCCAGCCATGCCTTGTGGTCTTCTCTCTCTCCCTTTCCACTTCCTCTGGCTAATAAGGTGATATCCTTTAGACCCCAGGGCACAAGGCAAAGGCACACTGTTGCCTGGCACTATGAGCTGAGCCAGTTGTCCCCTTTCCCCCTGGGCACCCACTGCACCCCTGGCGAGGGCCCTCTTGGGACAGCTGTGGGATGGGCTCTGGCCTAACCCCACTCAGATGCTGTCGCAAAGGGGCCTGTCCAGGTGCCTTGGCCCCACATGGCTTTGCTGAGGAGTTGAGCAAGTGTGTCCAAGTGCGGGTCCAGCCCAACAATGTGTCAGTGACATCACCTGGGGTACAGGTGAGTGGCGTGGGTGGGGAGGTGTGCATGCCCATTTGTACTTGTGTTGGGGGGGCCATATCCAGCTCTTGAGTCCTCTGCCTCCTCAGCTGACCGTGGCCTTACACAACGTGCCCGACCTCAGTGCGGGGGTGAGCTGTGCCTTTGAGGAAGTGACGGAGAGTGAAGCCATCCTGCTGCCCTCTGGGGAGTTGCGCTGCCCCTCCCCATCCTTGCAGGAGCTCCAGGCTCTCACCCAGGGGCATGGTCAGTGGGCTGGGGCTGCCCGGGTTAGGGGCACTCTGCCACTGGCACGCTCACGGCCACCCCTGGGCTTGCTGCAGGGGCTTCCCGCACTGTGCAGCTGCAGCTGCTCTCCAAGGAGACTGGTGTGAGGTTTGCTGGGACTGACTTTGTTTTCTACAACTGCAGCATTCTCCAGTCGTGAGTACTGGCCTTTCTGATCTCTGACCTCACATCTCTTCATCCCTCCCTGGTTGTGCAGGCCCCTTCCTCCCTTGGTTCCCTGCGTGTCCCATAGGAGGGGTGGTGAGGGGACAGGCCTGGCCTTCTCGGTTATCTCTGAAGTCTCTCCCTGACAGGTGCATGTCCTGCGTTGGCAGCTCTTACCCCTGCTGGTGGTGTAAGTACCGCCATGTGTGTACCAGCCACCCCAGCGAGTGCTCCTTCCAGGAAGGCAGGGTCCGTAGCCCTGAGGTGAGGCAGGCGCCGCGGGCAGTGGGGCTGGGGTCTGTGAGGGCTGGCCTCAGGCTTTTCTGCCTTTGATCTTGGTTCTTGGAATGTGCTCAACCTGAACTGGCCCAGTGGGACCTGGGCAGTGGTGGCCGGTGTAAGGCTGATGGGCATTCTCCCCTTAGGGCTGCCCTGAGATCCTGCCCAGTGGGGACCTCTTGATCCCAGTTGGTGTCATGCAGCCTCTTACCCTGCGGGCCAAGAACCTGCCGCAGCCCCAGTCAGGCCAGAAGAACTATGAGTGTGTGGTCCAGGTGCAGGGCCGGCAGCAGCGTGTGCCCGCCTTGCGCTTCAACAGCAGCAGCCTGCAGTGCCAGAATGCCTCGGTGAGGCCCTTCCTGCCCTAGTTGCTGGCTGCGCTGCGTCAGGCATGGATTGGGTCTGGGCTCAGCTCACTGGCCTGGAAGCCTCAGCTGGCTGCGGCCAGGGGCCTTCTGGGTCTCCTGCTGAGGGCTCCTGAGCAGGGGTCTCTGTATACCTTCTCTGATGTCACATGGGTCCCTCTCCCCAGTACTCCTATGAAGGCGATGAGTATGGTGACACCGAGCTGGACTTCTCTGTGGTCTGGGATGGAGATTTCCCCATCGACAAGCCTGCCACCTTCCGAGGTGAGGGGCAGGGTGGGGCTGAGCTGGGGCCAGGCCCTGTGGGGCCCTCTGTCAGCACTGCCTTCTGTCCACAGCTCTGCTATACAAGTGCTGGGCCCAGCGGCCCAGCTGCGGCCTCTGCCTTAAGGCTGACCCCCGCTTCAACTGTGGCTGGTGTGTCTCAGAGCACAGGTGCCAGCTGCGGGCCCACTGCCCAGCCCCCAAGACCAACTGGATGCACCTGAGCCAGAAGGGCACCCGCTGCAGCCACCCCCACATTGCCCAGGTCGGCCTCTCCCACCTGCTCATGCCTGCTGGGCACCTTCGAGGCTGGGCTCATCTGCTCACGTCCCATCCTGCTCTTCAGATCCACCCACTCATGGGGCCCAAGGAGGGAGGCACCCGAGTCACCATCGTGGGCGAGAACCTGGGCCTTACCTACCGAGAGGTGGGCCTGCGGGTGGCTGGTGTTCGCTGCAACTCCATCCCTGCTGAGTATGTCAGTGCCCAAAGGTGAGTGTGGTTGAGCAGGTGCCCAGGCCCCATCGACTGTGCCAGCCCTGACTTCTCTGACCCCTAGGATTGTGTGTGAGATGGAGGAGTCGCTTGTGCCCAGCCCGCCGCCAGGGCCTGCGGAGCTCTGTGTAGGTGACTGTTCTGCTGACTTCCGCACACAGTCTGAGCAGCTCTACAGCTTTGTGGTGCGTGGGCCACCTGCCCCTTCCCCCTCCTGTCCCTTGTGAGGGAGTACGACCCTGCCTTGGTACTGGGCTGCCTTCTCCCTTCCCTCAGGGCTGCTTTTCCCTCAGACCCCGACGTTTGACCATGTGAGTCCCAGTCGGGGCCCAGCGTCTGGGGGCACAAGGCTGACTATCTCTGGGAGCTCTCTGGATGCCGGCAGCAGGGTCACAGTGACCGTGAGAGATGGCGAGTGCCAGTTCGTGAGGTAGGCAGGGCCCTGCCAGCCTTGCATTGGGTAGGGGGCTGCAAGGGTGGGATGGGCAATGGCGCTGGGCTGCCTGTTCCAAGTGCCCCATCTGCCAACATAGGAGAGACGCTGAGGCGATTGTGTGTATCTCGCCTGTCTCTACCCTGGGACCCAGCCAGGCTACCATCAGCCTGGCCATCGACCGTGCCAACATCTCCAGTCCTGGAGTTCTCTACACTTATACCCAGGACCCCACTGTCACTCGCCTTGAGCCCACCTGGAGCATCATCAAGTAAGACCCTACAGAGAATGGGGAGCCTGGCTAGCCTCAAGGGGATCAGGGAGTGAGACCCCAGGCTCTGACCTGCGGTCCTGACTGGTGACTGGGATCTCGGGTATCAAGTTACACATCTTCTGAGACTGAGCCCTCACCCAGTGAGGGGTCAGGGGCCTCCCAGCCAGCATCTGGCCCCCCCGCAGTGACTTGGTGTTAGAGAGGCCTAGGCTCCCACGGCAGCCTTGACAACTCCGGGACCAGGCTGGGGGCAGTGGGGAGGGAGGCTGAGGCCCCTCACCCCTGTCCCCAGCGGAAGCACTGCCATCACTGTGAGTGGAACACACCTGCTGACGGTTCAGGAGCCCCGGGTCCGGGCCAAGTACCGAGGCATCGAGACTACCAACGTGAGTGTTGGCTGCCCTCATCCCACCCCTCACCCTGCTACTTGTGGCCTCATGTGCTGGGCTGCCCGCCCTTGTCCCCACAGACATGCCAGGTGATCAACGACACTGCCATGCTGTGTAAGGCCCCTGGCATCTTCCTGGGGCGGCCCCAGCCACAGGCCCAGGGTGAGCACCCTGATGAGTTTGGCTTCCTGCTGGACCATGTGCAGACGGCCCGCTCCCTCAACCGGTCCTCCTTTACCTACTACCCTGACCCCAGCTTCGAGCCGCTTGGGCCCTCCGGTGTTCTGGATGTCAAGCCTGGCTCCCATGTAGTGTTGAAGGTGCTGGTGGGGCCTGGGCTGGGAGGAGTAGGGAGGAGCAGGGAGGTGGGAAACCTTGCCTGACTGTGCCCTCCACGTGCAGGGCAAGAATCTGATCCCTGCAGCAGCTGGCAGCTCCCGCCTCAACTACACGGTGCTGATCGGGGGCCAGCCTTGCATACTCACTGTCTCAGACACACAACTCCTGTGCGACTCACCCAGTCAGACAGGCCGCCAGCCTGTTATGGTAGGTGGGGGTGGTGAGGCCACCAGGGCAATGTGGGGTGGACATGGGGGTCAGCTCACAGTGGCCTGTCCCCCCAGGTGCTGGTGGGCGGTCTGGAGTTCTTGTTGGGCACCCTGCACATCACGGCAGAGCGGGCACTGACCCTACCGACCCTGGTGGGGCTGGCCGCAGGGGGCGGGCTCCTGCTGCTGGCCATCACGGCTGTGCTGGTCGCCTACAAGCGCAAGACTCAGGATGCAGACCGCACACTCAAGCGGCTCCAGCTTCAGATGGACAGCCTGGAGTCCCGTGTGGCCCTGGAATGCAAGGAAGGTGCCTGGGGTGCGGTGGGGTGGGGTGCAGTGCAGTGCATGGGGTGAGCGGGCAGGCTTTCTTCTTCTGCACTGCTCACTCCTCCTTCCTGCCTCTCCCCAGCCTTTGCTGAGCTGCAGACAGACATCAATGAGCTGACAAACCATATGGATGGGGTCCAGATCCCTTTCTTGGACTACCGGACCTATGCTGTGCGTGTGCTCTTTCCGGGCATTGAGGCCCACCCAGTGCTCAGGGAGCTGGACGTGAGTCCCCATCTTGCCTGCCCACTCCCTGTCCCACCCCCCAGGGCCTTCCCCCTCTGATACTCCCTGTCCCCCACAGACTCCCCCCAATGTCGAGAAGGCCTTGCGCCTTTTCGGGCAGCTGTTGCATAGTCGCGCCTTCCTGCTCACCTTCATCCATACACTGGAGGCCCAGAGCAGCTTCTCCATGCGTGACCGTGGCACCGTAGCCTCGCTCACCATGGTGGCCCTGCAGAGCCGCCTTGATTATGCCACGGGGCTGCTCAAGCAACTGCTGGCAGACCTCATAGAGAAAAACCTCGAGAGCAAGAACCACCCAAAGCTGCTCCTGCGCAGGTACTGTACCGCCAGAGCCCTGCCCTCTGCTGGCCCCACCCCTGCCAGGCCAGGGCCCTCAGCAACCCTTGCCTCCTAGGACCGAGTCAGTGGCTGAAAAGATGCTTACCAACTGGTTCACGTTCCTGCTGCATAAGTTTCTCAAGGTGTGCTTGGTGGGTGGGGGCATGGAAGGTGTATGGGGAAGCAGCTGGCTGTCAGGCATGCCCCAAGCTGTGCAACCTACCCTGGCTGCAGGAATGCGCTGGGGAGCCGCTTTTCCTGCTCTACTGCGCCATCAAGCAGCAGATGGAGAAGGGACCCATTGACGCCATCACGGGCGAGGCGCGGTACTCGCTGAGCGAGGACAAGCTCATCCGGCAGCAGATCGATTACAAGACGCTGGTGGGTGCGGGGCCAGGTGGGCAGGGTTTCAGGTGTGCGGGAAGCTTTCCCCAGGACCCACCCTGTGATGCCCCTCGCCCTCAGACCCTGCACTGTGTGTGTCCGGAGAGTGAGGGAAGTGCTCAGGTCCCAGTGAAGGTTCTCAACTGCGACAGCATCACCCAGGCCAAAGACAAGCTTCTGGATGCTGTGTACAAGGGCCTCCCGTACTCCCAGCGGCCCAGAGCTGAGGACATGGACCTAGGTGAGGCCCCTCCTACCTCCTGGTTCCCACCCAGTAGCTCTGTTCTCTTAGGGGAGTGGGCCCAGGTCTCAGGGGACACTGAGCAGGACCTCAAGGGCTGTCTGTGGCCTGCAGAATGGCGCCAGGGCCGCATGGCTCGCATTGTCCTCCAGGATGAGGATGTCACCACCAAGATCGAGTGTGACTGGAAGAGGGTCAACTCACTGGCCCACTACCAGGTAAGGGGCTGGGGGCCCACTCACTCCCAGGATCACCTGGGAACTGTGGGGCTCCCCCTCTGGCCCCTGTGCTCACAGGCCCTTCTCAGGGAGCCTCGGGTGCTTCCCCACCTGCGTACTGCAGGGCCTGGGTGGATGGTGGCTCAGGTGCTTTGGCTTTTTGGCTTCATGCGCTGCCCCCTGTCTCTGGGGTTTCCAGGTAACAGATGGTTCCTTGGTGGCACTGGTGGCCAAACAAGTGTCTGCCTATAACATGGCCAACTCCTTCACCTTTACTCGTTCCCTCAGTCGCTACGGTAGGTCCCTCAGATGGTTCCTTGGTGGCACTGGTGGCCAAACAAGTGTCTGCCTATAACATGGCCAACTCCTTCACCTTTACTCGTTCCTCAGGGTGGTCACCTTTGCTGGCCCTGTGGCCAGTCTGAGTTGCCAACTTAGTTCTGGCGGCCTCACTGTGTCTTGCCCTTGGGAGGCCTCCAATTCTTTAGAGCTGAGAAGTGCGGAGGGCCAGCAAGGGCAGAGAGGGCCCCCTCTGCCTGCTGGGCTCCTGGGACAGAGGAGCGAGAGCCTTGGCAATGGCCCATGTGGCCCTGCCCCCCAGCCTAAGAGGCATACCCATCCTCTGCCCCAGAGAGCTTGCTCCGTACAGCCAGCAGCCCCGATAGCCTCCGCTCGCGGGCACCCATGATCACGCCCGACCAAGAGACAGGTACCAAGCTGTGGCACCTGGTGAAGAACCATGATCACACCGACCACCGTGAGGGGGACCGTGGCAGCAAGATGGTCTCAGAGATATACCTGACGCGGCTACTGGCTACCAAGGTGTGGGGCTGCCCCAAGCCGTCTCGGTGTCAGCTCTGATGCCTTCTAGCTTGGCCTTGGCCCTGAGCTTGGCCCAGCCTATAGGGGTGTGGGGTGGGGAGATGGCTGGATCATTCCAATCCAGCAGACCATTCTCAAGGCCTTTGCTATGGAAACTCTCAGCCAAAGGTTGAGGCTGGGCTTATCTCAGGGGCACTGGCCCTGCAGGAAAGCTCTGCTTGTGACCGAGCCCTTCTGTCCCATCTGTTCTGTGGGGATGTCCCAACCTACCTCCCTCACAGGCTCTGTCTGTGCTATGCCCCTGCAGGGCACACTGCAGAAGTTTGTGGATGACCTCTTTGAGACCGTGTTCAGCACGGCACATCGGGGCTCAGCTCTGCCTCTGGCCATCAAGTATATGTTCGACTTCCTGGATGAGCAGGCTGACCAACGCCAGATAAGTGACCCTGACGTGCGCCACACGTGGAAGAGCAATTGGTAATTCCCTGTGCTGGGCCCCGGGGATGGGTGAATGGAAGAGGCTGGTGGCTCTGCCAAGACTTAGGGGTCATGGGGGCAGAGTGACTTAAGGGGGTAGAGTGGCTGCCCCGGCAGGACAGGACTAATGTGGATGGTGCCTCCAAAAAAGAGAGGAAGTGAGTGCAATTCTGGACATGGGCTTTACTGAACATTTGGGTGGTGGGGTGCGGGTAGTGGAGCTGGCACCCAGAGGTGGTCCTTAGGCCTCCAGGGCCTTGCACAGGGCAGAAGCCCAGGTGGCAGGGAAATGCACTGAGGACAGAAGGCTCTTTACTCTTGCTTTCTCCATCACTGCTTAAAGGCTAGCAGAAATATAAAGAAAACCTGTCACTTCTGCTGCCTGTAGGCAGGACATGGGCTGGCCAGACCAAAACTTTGGAGGGGAGTGGAGATGGGAGGGTGCTCACAGGGAGACTAGGGAGCGGCAGGTATCTCTCCCTGTGTCCAGCCTGCCGCTGCGCTTCTGGGTGAATGTGATCAAGAACCCGCAGTTCGTGTTTGACATCCACAAGAGCAGCATCACAGATGCCTGCCTATCAGTGGTGGCCCAGACCTTCATGGACTCCTGCTCCACATCGGAGCACCGCCTGGGCAAGGACTCGCCATCCAACAAACTACTGTATGCCAAGGACATCCCCAACTACAAGAGCTGGGTGGACAGGTGGGCCCTGCCTGGCAGCCCCATGCTTCGCTGCGGGAGGTGGCAGGGCCAGGGGGCTCAGGGCACAGTGCTGTCCTGTCAGGAGGCAGAGGCTGCCCCTCCCTTGGCAGGCTTGTCTTTCACGCCAGCTGCTGGCCAGGGCAGGGCTTTGGCTTTTCTGCTGCCTGCCTGAGTGACCTGCCTATGGTCCCAACAGGTACTACCGGGACATAGCGAAGATGGCACCCATCAGTGACCAGGACATGGATGCCTACTTGGTGGAGCAGTCCCGTCTCCATGCCAGCGACTTCAGTGTCCTTAGTGCACTCAGTGAGCTCTACTTCTATGTCACCAAGTACCGCCACGAGGTGTGTGCCACCCCCACAGGTCCCCAGTTGCCTGACCCTGAAGGTGTAGCCAGTGGCAAAGGCAGGGGGGTCAGTAGGGGTCATGGAATTCCACAAGGAGGTGCAGGGGAATGAGGGGACACGGAACCCATCTATTAGATTGCTCATGAAGCCTCCTTTCACCAGGCCTTCAGGGCTAGCATAGATGACACTCTCCTTAGATGCTGGGATTTGAAGAAACCAGGAGAGAAGCCACTGGCTGGAGCACAAACTTCGGCTTGGGCAAAAGTGAAGGTGCAGGGGGAGGGGGAGGGGTGCAGGGGAGGTGGTGCCAGAATATAGGCAGGGCCGATCCTTTTATTTTGCAGGGTTTGTGACTGGAGGTGTCAGTAGGCAGGGAATACAGATTAGGACTTCAGGATGCATTCTGGGCTGGACAGGAGAACTGTGAGGCAGGACATGGCCCCGAGCCAGGAGGAGCTGGCCACCAGCAGTGGGCACTACGCCCTGGGACCCTGGGACGCTGGGAGGCAGCAGCAGAGGAGGCTGAGGAGGGGTGGCCAGAGCGGTGGGAGGGACCCCAACCAAGGGTGCTGTCCCCAACCCCCACCCCTTCCGGGAAGGTGGGAGGTAAAAGAGGGAGGAGGACATCGGGACAATGTGTTCAGACCACTCTTGGGAGGAGCGGTGCCCTGGCGCCCTGGCTGGGGAGAGGAGGGGAAGCCAGGTGTGCGGCTGGAGGGGCTCTNGCTCTGGCGGGGGTGGGGTGGGGGGTCAGCTGGGGGTGTTTGTTCAGAGGTGAGGGGGTGGCCGTTGCCGTGTGCCCGACTGGGGAGGACGGGCGACAGGATGGAGGCGCTGAGGCCTGGGGGGGGAAAAGAGCTCAGGTGGTGGACGGGGGCTCTGCCTGGGAGCAGGCGGGACCCCCTCGCGAGCCCAGTGCCCGCCCACCCGCTGGGGCCCTCCTCGCTCAGGTTCTCACCGCCCTGGACCGAGACGCCTCCTGTCGCAAGCACAGGTTGCGCCAGAAGCTGGAACAGATCATCAGCCTCTCCTCCGGCCACAGCTAAGGGTGGCGGAACCGGTGAGGAGGGGGCTTCCCGGTGCTGAGCCGGCCTCGTCGCGAAGGCCGGCTGATGCCTGGGTCTCGCGGCTGAGCCATGGGCCAGGGGGGCACGGGGGAGGTCACCGGGCCCCACACCTGGGCCCCCTTCATTAGTGCCTTGCTTGGGGCCCTGCGAGGGAGCGGGGATGATGGGGCCGAGCCCCCCACCCCAGCAGCAGCAATACGCCCACCCTCCTGCCCTCGGGGCCGGGTGTTGTCACAGCCACCGCCCTCCTTGCTATTTATACCCCCCTCCCGCCCCCTATTTATTTAACTTATCTCCTCCGCACCTCCTGGCCCGGGTCTGTAAATAATTACGTGGCGTCCAGCACCGCCCCCGCCGCTGTGTCACCAACCTCACTCACCTCCATTGTGACAGTCAGCCGGGGCCTGGCCCCTGGCCCCACCTCACCCTTGCCACGGCGGCCCCAACAGTCTGAGGAGGGGGCCTTGGCAGCAGCAGCATTTGGGGTGGGGCGGCGTGCCTGCAGACCGGGGCTGTGCCAGGGGTTCCCCCCGCGGCTGGGCCACAGTGTGCCCTCCACACGCGCGCGTCAGGCCGTGCGTCCTGGCAGGGCCGGCTGGCTCGCTCCCGTCCCCGAGTCGCTGGAGCGCTACTGCCAGGCAGGCGCGGGATGGCCCTGGGCCTGGGCGCTGTGCGGCTCTCCTCGCGAAGTACTGCCGAACTTGCTCAGCGCGGCCTGCCCGCGGCCCGGAGCCCCTCGTCCTGAGCTGCCCTGTCCCGCGCCCGCCCCAAGGGGCCCAGGCGGCCGTGCCTTACTCCTTCGTTCTGCTTCCCCTGAGGAACCTGGCCGCCGTCCCGTGGCCCCGGCAGCTCAGTTGTCTCTGCGTTTGGGGCATAGCTTTCTCTTTGTGCGGGTAACTTTTATTTTTCCTTCCTCATTAAACATTGGGAAAACGGAGTCGGGTTGTGGCTTTGTCCTTGGGGTGGCTGGGCGGTGGGCGAACACGCAGGCAGGCGGGGACGCTGCTGGACGCCCGTGACGGGAGGAAGGGGCACTCACCACAGGGCTCCTGAGAATGGGGCCTCGGCCGTCCAAACCCTCAACAAATCCTGGGGACCCTACTTTCTGCAAGACCTGCTCCCTTCTCCCCACCTCCACTGCCCCTGGCCGGGTGGGTCCAAGGCCATCCTTGTGTCTGCCAGTCGCCTCACTTCCGCCCTGGCCGCGGGGAGGCGCTGGGAGCGCCCGGGGAGACGGGGAACGGTGTTCCCACCCAAGCCGCTCAAAGCCTGTTCAAGAAGTGTCTGGCTTCCAGGGCGCCCTCTGGACGTCGCTTCTGACCAAACTCCTCCCTGTCCCGCGTGCGTGCACTGCGGTCACTGTGCACCCACCAACCCACACTCACCCCGCATACCTTATAAAGTTATGCAGGCGCGGAGACAGTGGCATGCAATCCTAAGTAGGGGTGGGGGCGGGGGGCAGGGGTGGTATTTGCGGGAGCCAGGCGGAACCCCGCAGGAAGACGTTTAGCTCCAGGCAGCTCAGTTGCAGAGCAAAGGCCGTGAGGCAGGCGTGGGCCTGGTGGCATTTCAGAAAGGGGAGGGGCCGATGTGGTGGATCCGCGTGAGCAGGAAGGAGAAGGCAGGGGAGCAGCCCACAGGGGAGGCCCGGCTGGATTTTTACTGATGGAAAAAACATTTACGCACCGAGCCAAACCCTGGGCACCCAAGTGCCAGTAGAGGCTGAAATTTAGGTCCCCTCCAAGGCCCCCTAATAGCACAGAACTAGTTGCAGGAGGGAAACCACAGCCGGAGGAAAAACGCCCCCCTAGGAGGGGACACAAGGGTAGAACTTGTGGCCCCATCCCCAGGCGACGCTTAGTGCAACATAGGGGGTCCAAAGCGCTGGAGGGTGCGCAACACGAGGGAAAGCTGGTCAAGGAAGTTGACAACGGACACACGGAGGAGGCGAGGGTCCGCAGCTCTCCAGCGACTAAAAGTAAGGGGAAAAGATCAAGTTGGCAGTGGGGCCGCCTCCCTTTCCTTGCTCTGCTCCTCAGGCACCCCTTACAGCCAGCCCTTGGCCACCTCCGGCGGAGTGCCCGTCCCAGGGGGGACGCTGGAGCGCCGCATCCCCTCCCTTGACCTAACCCGGGAGGGTCTCCGCGTCTCTAACAGAATGCCCGTGGGTGGAGACGGGCCAGGCCACCTGCTGCCACTCCCACCCGGGCCCTGGCAGAACTTACGCCCGGAGGATGCTGCCTCTCACTGTCAGTTCCTTGTGAAGCACCACTCGGTGGGGCTCGGCGTCTGAGGCCAGGGAAGTACGGGCGATCTCCGCCTCCAGGGGGGATGGGAAAGGCACGCTGAGAACGCTGGTGCAGATTGGGTGAAGGCCTCATCCAGACCAACTTGGTGCCTGGGCCCCCTGAGGAGTCGCATCTCCTCCAGGCCTGTTTCCATCCCCTTCAGGCCCTTCTCGGCCTGTACCCACCCTCGGCCGGCCCGGTTCCCTTTCTGCTCTCCATTACTCGGTCCCCGTCAGGCGCCCCCCGGTCCCCCTCAGCTCTTCCTCCTCTCCCTCCAGGGCAGCCCCAAGTCCGCCTTTGCAGTCCCCGCGGAAAAGATACAACACGTAAAGTCGGCCTCCCGGTCTTCCGGCCGCGGCAGTGGCTTCTCCGCCCGGCCCTGCGACATACTGTGCTTGCGGCACACTGTGACCCCCATCGCCCGCACCTACAGCCCGCATGGCGCCGCACTCCGCCTCCGGCCCCGCCCCTGCAGCGCCGGCTCCACGGTCTTCGCTCTCCGCCAGCGGCTGAGGAACTGCGTCTCCTCCCCGAAGCTCCGCTCCTCGCTCTGGCCCCGCCCCGCGCATGCGCAACAGGCCTTCGGGAAGACCGGGCGCTTGGACGGTTTCCGCCAAGCCGACCGTGGTGGAGACTATGGAAGACTCCGTGGGCTGCGCGAGCACCGAACAACCCGACCCCCGGACACCTGCGCAAACAGACTTCCACCGAGGCCGCCAGGCAACAGTTCGGTTCGCTCCACGCCGGCCCTGTCGCCCAAACATAAACAGTCATTATCTCCACGTGGTGTGGTTGTGATTGTAATCTCCTTTTTTGGGTTTTCTTCTTTTTCAGACGGAGCTGTTGCTGACATAATACTGTAGTTTTAATGCCGGGGTCCTTGTTCACGAAGCCGAAAAATGAGCTTCACAAACAGTCAAGGTAGGAGAGCAAGGTACAGGCTTTTATTTAGAGATAAAGTGAAGGAACAGAGCTCCCGGCTCACGCCAGGAGGGGACAAGAGAGGAGGGGTGGTGCGTTGTCTAGGGGGTTTTATAGGCAGATGAGGGCTTTTCGAGAACATGAAAAAAAGCTTAGGGGTGTGGACTTACTAAGTGGTCCTAGAACATTTACAAGTACCTTGATACAAGTAACCCCCTGCTCTGTTGATTTCTCCCCGAGATACCAGCATCTTGGTCTCGGGGCATATGAAACAAGGCCACCTGCTCAGCCCCCAAGGTGGGCTGAGGCATTGTTTGCTAAAGAGTAGGTCAAGTGCAATCTTATCTTTAAGGTGGAATCCTTCTTGCCTTTTACTGTGTTATGGCTGGGCTTGCGTGCTAAATTAATGTGCCCAGTTTGCAAAATCACCTCATTAAATCTGAAGGAGGAAAGACAGCACATAGGCTTGGGCCTTTTAGCCTGTTAAAGTGAATCTTATACATAATTATAAATAATTGGCATAAAATAAACATGTGCTACTCTTCTTTATCTGGGGGTACACCAACAGATCTCACTGAAGAATGACTCCAGAGCTGAATGTTTAACACAGAGTTTTACTACGGGGTTTCCTTGCATGTAGTTACATTGCTCTGACTGCAGATATCCTGCCTTGCTTTTTCCAGAGGCCCTCACCCTACTCTGACTACACCCATGGTCCCTGTCTCATCTGCTGTTTCACACTTGGCTGTGAGGTTTCCTGAGTTCTGTGTTGTCTATCAGCACAGTGCTTATGGGTGTGGACTTGTTAAGTGGTCCTTCAATATTTAAAATTTAACTTAACACAAGAAACTTACTGCTCTGATTGTTTCGAGATACCAGCATTTTGGTATGGGAGCATATCACACAAAAGACCGCCTGCCTAGCCCCCAAGGTGGGCTGAGCTATTGTCTGTTTGCTAAAAAGTAGGTTAAGAATCTTACTTCTTAACTTCCTGGGTTTTTAAAATGCAAAATTTTTAAGATGGAATCCTTCCTGCCTTTTACTATGTTGTTTATGGCAGGACCTGCCATTATTAATTGCCCAGATTGCAAATCACCTCATCAAGTCAGAAGGAGGAAAGACAGCACATAGGCCTGGGTCTTTTAGCCTGCTAAAGTGAATCTTACACATGATTATAAATGACTAGCATAATAAGAACATGTGCTACTCTTCTTTATGTGGGGAATATTTTCTCTCTCTCTATTACTTGTATGATATCTGGGGAATATTAACTGATCTCACTGAAGAATGACTCTAGAGCTTAATATTTAACACAGAGTTTTGCTAGGGGGTTTCCTTGCATGTAGTTACATTGCTTTGACTGTAATATCCTGCCTTGCTTTTCCCGGAGGCCCTCACCTTACTCTGACTACATCCACGGTCCCTGTCTCAGTTTCAAGTGTACAACATGGTGACTGGACAATTACATACATTACGAAATGCTGAGGATGGTAAGTGTAGTTACCATCTGTCAGCATACTGGGTTATTACAATATTACTCACTATATTCCCCATGCTGTACCTTTCATCACCATGACTGACTTATTTCATAGCTGAAAGTTTGTACCTCTTGATCTCTTTTACCTACTACACACACACACCTGTAACTACCAGTTTGTTCTCAGTATTTAAGAGTCGGTTTCTGGGCTTTTGTTCATTAGTTTTGTTTTTTAGCATCCACATTAGGTGAAATCATACAGCATTTGGCTTTCTCCATCTCATTCATTTCACTTAGCATAATACCCACTAGGTCCATCCACGCTTTTGCAAATGGCAAGATCTCCTTCTGCCTTATGGCCAAGTAATGTCCCACTTCTAGTTTATTCACCTATTTATGAAAATAAATAAAAATGATATTTGGAAGGAAATATGAAAAAAATCAAAACACCGTGACTTCTGAGGGTGAGCAAGTTGTAGATAAGCATATGGCGCTTTTTAAAAAGATTTTGGTATCATTAATCTACAATTCCATGAGTAACCTGTTTACTAGACTCCCTCCTTCACCAAGTCCCTCCCCACAAACCCCATTACAGTCACTGTCCATCAGCGCAGTAAGATGCTGTAGAATCACTACTTCTCTGTGTTGCACAGCCCTCCCCGTGCCCCCCTCCCACATTATACATAGTAATCATAATGCCCATCCCTTATCCCTCCCTTCCCACCCCTCCTCCCCAGTCCCCTTCCCTTTGGTAACTGTTAGTCCATTCTTGGGTTCTGTGAGTCTGCCGCTGTTTTGTTTCTTCAGTTTTCCTTTGTTCTTATACTCCATATATGAGTGAAATCATTTGGTATTTGTCTTTCTCCACCTGGCTTATTTCACTGAGCATAATACCCTCTAGCTCCATCCATGTTGTTGCAAATGGTAGGATTTGTTTTACTCGTATGACTCAATTATATTCCATTGTGTATATGTACCACATCTTCCTTATCCATTCATCTACTGATGGACACTTAGGTTGCTTCCATTTCTTGGCTATTGTAAATAGTGCTGCGATAAACATAGGGGTGCATATGTCTTTTTCAAACTGGGCTGCTGTATTCTTAGGGTAAATTCCTAAAAGTGG